AACAGCGCATACCCCTCACTCTTCTCACTCCCTCCTCACAGTTGTCTGTTGCATGATCCAGTTCAGTCGAGTCTAGTCAACCACAATCAGGAAGATGATTGGTGATGACAGTAGGCGGAAACCTTGTCTAACTCCTGTTCCCTGTCTTCACTTCAAACGCATCAATGAGCTTTCCATTGTGAATCACTTGGCATGTAGCATCACATGACATACCGAACAGTTGTTGATTGAGGTTGACAGAGGTTTGTGACACTGGAACCGTAGTGTTGAACCAACTGCCTGTCAAATTACTTGTCGGTCGACGCTGTCGAAGGCCTTTTCAAAGTCGATGAAGTTGAGTTTGAGTTGATTTGACTGCCATTCTACACTCTGTTCTGTGATGATGTGTAGCGTAGCGTTGCATTGCAATTTGATCCCCATATGATTTGTTCTTCCTGAAGGTAGCCAGACAGCCAGCCAGCCAGCCAGCCTCTTCCGGTCGTAATTTCGAAACCACAGCATTATTTAGTCTCTCCATGATGATGCGACATAATATTTTGCTTGCTTTGGGTGGACAGGAGCATGATTCCGCGCCAGTTCTTGCAAAGACTTAGGTCTCCCTTCTTTGAGAGTTTGATAAGGAAGCCCTTCTTTCAATCAATCGACGGGTATCTTTCCTTCCATGCAAACTGCCTGTAGTAGTGATGTGAGCATGTCTGCTGATGAATGTGCGTCTGCTTTTAGAGCTTCTGGTAGAATTCCATTTGGTCCTGCTGCTTTCCCGCCTTTCAGTAGCCTTATGACGTTCAGGACTTCTGATTTGTGGTAAACTTCGTGTAAGCCGACGTTTCTGTGGCTGGTCTGCTGGTGGTATTTCTGGAGGGGTGGCAGTTTGTGGTGATGGTGGTGGTCGATTCACGAGTTTTCTGAAGCGGTCAGCCCATCATTTCCTTTGTTTCTCTTCTCTGGTAACTAGGTTTCCTTCAATGTCTTTCATTGGTTTCGTCTATGTTGATCTCTTCCCAGATAGTATTTTGGTTGGTTGACATAGTGTTTTCAGGTCTCTGTCTCTGCTACCTGCAGTCTGTTCTGCTTCACTTGCCAATGTGTCGTAGTAGTGTCTTTTGCCTTTTCGCGCACTCTTCTTCACTTCTTTGTCCAGTCTAGTGTTTTTCATTGGCAATGTTCAGTCCCTCTTTTCGTTGTTCATCCCTGCCCTGCACTGCACTAGTTCATCTTCTGCTTCACCATCTTCCTCTTCCTCTTCCTCTACCTCTCCCTCCTCTATCAGCTTCCATGTCTCCGTCGAGATCAATTCCTTGTCTCGTCTTCTTTTTCCTCCCTTCCTAACACAGTTATGCAGGTTCCTTCCCACATCTCTTTCAAACAGTTCCAGTGTTATTCCACGCCCCATCCTTCAGAGATGTTGCTCAATATCTCCCATTTTCTCCTGATGACTGACTGACTGACTGACGTGAAGATGTCATTTGTAGTTTCGTCCTTCTGTTCAGATTCTGTTCTAGATGTTCAACTTCAACTGTGGTCTGTCATAACCAGCTTCTTTGAAGGCTTTCAACTCGATTTTTAAGGTAGGTAGGCAGGTTCCTTGCACTAGATGATGAGTTGTCCCATCCTACATCTGCTCCTCTTCATGATCTGATCTTGTGTCCAGTTGGCTGCATCTCTACTTTCTTCACATTGAAATGAAGTCGATCTGATTCTGAGTGTATCCTGGTGTTTGGTGAAATCAAATCCATATCACCGCCTCGTGAATATCCTTGTGTTTGTACACACTGTCTGACTTCAATCACCAAGTGATTAAATGCACAGAAGTCTGCAAATAGTTCTCAATTCTCATTCATCACTTCACTGAGTGCTTCTCGACCCATGATGAGTTATCTTCCTGTGTTGTCCGCTTCCAGTGTGGCATTCACGTCACCCATCCGAATGAATTTTGATGTCACCAACTGGCGTGTGGTCTTGTCCAGTACTCATTGCATTTGTAGGGTGGCTAAAACATTTAATTTTTAATGGGTTGACAGAGTGTGATAAATGATTATTTTAGAGACACAGATAATCATACGAGCCAGATTTTCCAGTTTTTTTGTTGGAGCCTTTTCAAAATAGTGTAGATTTTTTACTCCAAATGATTAATTTATGTATAGGTTGCTACTAAAAGCCTATTTTCAACCAATTTTCATCATTTCAGGTAGTGGATTTATAACCTGTTACCCATAGCCTGTGGCCTTTGACAGACAATTCATACGCTTATTCATAAACGACAATTTGGCGCGGAAAGTTTTCTATGCGACGAATAATTCCCAAAAGCTGTACATCGTAATCATAGTTACAATAAATTTGTATCCATCATTAACTAATGGGTCAAAAACAAATCAAATGAATTTTAATGCATTAGTAAAACCCTTCAAAGCCGTTTACCGTAATGTAATCGTCTGAATAATGTTACAGCTCATTTGAATATTGCCTGCTTACATTCACTGTTTGGTTACATTACTTATATTTCGTAAATTCGTATCGTTTCTTCTGTTCAATGAATTAGAAAGTCGAAATACTAGAGATATTCACAGTTCTTTTAAGTTTTGTGACTAAACTGTCGTTCTTCTAGGTAAATAAATAAATAAATATTTTATCCTCATATTAGCAGTCTAGTTTTATTCACAATAATTTGCAAATAAAAATGATCACATGTGGGCTAAGTACGAATTATGATAACAAAATACCTCAGAGACCAAATGGAAATATCAGTTTCAACAAACCCGTTAGGTAGGAGGATTTGGAAGCAGCATATTTTATTCAAACTGAATTCAATCTTGTAGACACAGATGAAGTATATATCAGTTTCATTTCCACATTGAACTTCACTGACTATCATGTCCAAGCTGGTATCAAAAACTGCATGCCAAAACCAAGCTTGAGCAACTACCACACTTTTAATCAGGAAGAAATATTACTGAATAAAAAAGAAGTAGTTAGTCAGAAGTCACTTAACCTAAACGTTTTACTAACTAGCTAGAAGTTATTGGAACACCAGATGGTCATTGCTTTACTTCTGATTACAGCTTATATTAGTTGCGTATTCTGAAGGATAGAAAACCGTTGTTCAAATGTTTTTATTCTTCTGATCTCAAAACATTCAATACTGATCACTGTTGTGGTGTTGTAATTCTTATCTCCTTCCGTTATTTGTTCCATCACTATATGATACTTTTGTATTAAGATGGTCAGATATTTGTTCTTCATCGTGTGAATCATGCACTAACCAAATACTTTCTGAAACAATTTACTTTATCAGTAGTTATCAGTAGAGCACTACGGAAAAGTATAACAAAGAAGGCAAATATGCTTAAATGTCGAACTTTTTATTAGCGGAAAGTAAATCTCAGATGATAAATCTTTGCAAATAATAACAGTCGGTAGGACAATAAAGATAAAAAAGGTATCAGAATGATCTTAAGGAAGAAAGGTGCATTTGTTATATGGTAGATGCTGATCTAGGTGCTTCATATGATTTATGGTAGGGCGTGGGTGATAAAATACATCAGCATTCTATGTCGACATATAAAAAAAGGTGAAGATATATGTCTACACTTCATCCACCAAGGATGTCTAAAAATAATCGACATATGATGGATCAGTATTCAACAAAGTCACCATCATGAACAGTTAACTTTGTTATTGGTTTCATTAACTTAGCAGCTGCACATCAAGAACTTTGACAGAACAAAAGGTCACAATATAACATGCATTACCACTTTGTGACTTATCTTGGTCTTTCAAGAAATCAGTCACAAATAAACAAAAGTAGTACTGAACGAGGTGACTGTAAATCTCAAAAATGTACTGAATTTCATCTGAATTGAAGACTGATTTTGCTGATAAATAGGATCATATATAAGGTTTTTTGAGGATACCTTTTCATCATGTAATATAACAGATGGTATATGATTCACATTTGGTTTGCTGTGATCTGTGTATGGTGAAAGGGTTTGGAACATACACAAAATGAATTCGTACCTAATGCATCAAGCTGTTTTATAGATAAAAAGGGTGACGTATTTCAAGCTCACGAAATGTAGTACAGTTATACTGTTATCCAGTTAATAAAAACTTGTTTACAGTGTACATATGTCAAATAGACACATTGAGTTCCAGACTGTGTTGTAAAATCTTATTTGTTTCAGTATGCTAAAAGTGGCATGTTTTAACAACTAATGATTGCTGGTAGTAAGCACTTATTTCAATTCTTAAGGAGTTTATTTCTTGTGAAAGAATTATTGTACAGGTGTTCAGGTGCTAAATGAAAACAATTCGTCAGAAGGGCAATATCATGACACCTTAAACCTCTTATAGTAAGTGGATAACTTCATTTAGGCAAGAAAACGTCATGTGAAAATGCTGAAGCATTTGTTAAAACTGCCTATTGACTAACTGGTTGCTAGCATACACCTGTGTGAACTTTATATATATATATATATATATATATATATATATATATATATATATATATATATATATATATGCTCTAAATATTCGTACACAGGTCGTGTGATGAGGAGGAAACTCGGTAAGAGTGTAACATAATTATTTACTGTAGATTTTCATTGTCTCAAATTTAAATTGCTAGTTACCAGAAGGTATCAAACAAGTGAATCTCATGTTAAGTAAATTTTGAACTAAGTGTTAGAGTATTTTTCTGAACCTAAGCATTCATTCGTGTTTGTCCTTCGATCCACATATGTCAAAGTATATTATTGAGGGGTTTGCAAGATAACTGAAGATAAGATTCTGTAAATTTCCAATATTTCTAAATGTTTGACACTAGTCTATCTTCTGATATATCTAAAAGAATGTAAAATCTAAGGATTTCACAGTCAAAATATTCTGTCAGATTATTACCTCAAATTGTATACTTACTATAATCTTTTTATCATGTTCTTTCACTGTGTCTGGATTCTATCATATCCCACTTCCTCTATTTATCCTATTTTCTTCTTCAGATAATGACGTACTCAGGAAAATTGCTATTCATTGAACTAAACATCTTATGGAGCTTACTGCTGTCCTATCTGTGTTCCATTGAAAATCAGGTTGGTTGGATAAGCAATGGAGTTGAGCAGATTGATAATACTACTCTTTATCAAATATTATCAGTTGAAAAACATGTTGTTGTTTACTTTTGTAAGTGATTACTCACTTTTGCTAATGATGTCTATGCATTAGTGAGATATAGTGCATTTTAAAGTTATGTTTAGGAATTTGTATTTCATTTACCACGTCTTTATATGAATTGCTGACAGTGGTGACCAAAACCGTAAACTAATCCAAAACAAGATGTAAGTAGCTCAACAATTCAAAAACCAATCAAAGGTTTAATGAAAAAATGAAGCGTAGTGATTTGAACAGTGAAAAACTGTTTTGTTTTTCTTGTGTAATAATTTATATGATAAGTATCCGAAAAGTTGTAACTCAAATAACCTAATGATTCAGGCCAGTTGAATAAGATTGTAACTAACGTTTAAAATTTCTTGGTATTGCTAGTTCACCCTAGTCAATTATTTGTAAACAACTGGCTTTTAGAATTTATACCGACCAAGAACACCAGTGATAAACTTATGAATCAACTGCTCAGTATTTCACTGAAGTAAAAAGGTGAAGGACCGACTGATCTGTTTGAATTGCGTTTGATTACTGAAATGATTTTATTAATTTAACATTTCTTTGGCTGTGTTTAGATCATGGTTAATTGGTAAGCAGTTGTTCGTTCATCTTTTCCCTAAATTAGTCTGTGGTATTCTATACCATTTAGCCTTTATTTCTAATCTCATTTAAATAAACGAAGTTTAAAAAATAAGACTTAGTTGTAGTTTATAAAACATGAGAATAGGAATGAACTCAATGACACTTTGAAAATGCTTTGTCAGTAAGGCAATTTATTTCACTGAATTACTTTGTACAGTTTTGAATGTTTCAATGGGTTTCTTTGTTGATTAAAGGTAGTAAATAGCAAAATTTTGAAGGCAGATTTTCATAAATGTCAGAATAAAAGAAAAAAAAATTTAGACAAGCGCGTTTTTGAAGGACTGTTAAAGGCCAAACTAGACAACCTTAAAGGCCACCATAGCAACAACTGAAATAACTAATCAGACTTCTCTGTTTCATGAAAATCCACCTTTCGAGCCGAAATGGATAAATCTAATTGGTTATTTCTATCGTTGCTAGAGTGGCCTTTAAAGTCACCAACCAAACAATTTACCAACGAAATAACAGAATTGCTTCTGTTTCTCGAAGGCAGTTTAAATAAAATCTTTTGTCTAGTATTATTTAATTTCTATGTTTAGAGGCTTCATTATGTATTTTTCCATCCCCTGATATGCATTCTAAAGTTCAGTCGGTCGTCTATCACAAGTGTCTATCATTTTCTTCTATATGTGTTGCGGCAAATTATCCACTTTTATTAATGCATTACACAGTTACTTGAGTGACCTTTAAAGTCATTCATAAAAGTGTCATGTGACTGCATGCAAGTTATTCTTTTATTAAAGTATATAACCCATGATCTACGTAGAAAGATTTATTTTTCCTAATTGCATAGCTCGTCTATTGAGCGACCTTAAAGGCCATCCTAGAAACGATCGAAATAACCGAATTAGGTTTATCAGTTTTGGCTGGAAATGCAGATTTTTACTAAACAGAGAAGTCTGATTGGTCATTTCAGTTTTGGCTAGGGTGGCCTTCAAAGTCACACCATCTATCTTTTAGACTTACTGACAACATTCACTTAAAACCAATACAATACAAACAGTTCTAGTGACATCCATTTAAAATTATTTCAGCGGCTGATATGCCATACTCCAACTGTTTTCATCAAAGCAGTTACCTGCTGAGGTAGGTAGGTCATACTGTTGATTTGTCCTGGTGTTCAGCTTGAAACTCACATATGTAAGCTACATTGTACAGTTTCAGGAACTGACGATGTACGTGTCTGGATGCTAGCAAACAAAAATTATGCTGCATTATGCAAAGTGCGTTTTTCACAACACGGAAAATTAATGAAGAAAGAGACAATAGCTATGAGGACAATAAAAAGTTTCATAAAATGGCTCGATTAAAAAATGGCATATAATTTAGGCCATTATGTTTAGAAACCGGAATTATGAAGTACCAGGAACCAGAAAACACTTGATAACTGCTATTTTCCTGCTATGAACTTACAATCACCGAAGAACCTTAAGGCTTGATTTCAAATGTGAACAAATGCCTTTGATGATTTTTTTCTTCTGATCTCATGATTCCTAGTTTCTAACGATAAACAATTAATCACAAGTGGCAGTTTTCACCGAATAGTCTACTTTTGACTAACTAAACCAAATGTAAAGTAATTTCAGTCAAGGATAATAACAGAATTGCGCATACAAGACTGCAGGACTATCATGCTTCATTTTACACCTTATGAAGCTAGGGGTTACTGACTACCTCATTCAGAATCGGTGACTGAGTACAAACGTCTCGAAGAAAACAAACTTATACTCTGGGTTCTGTCTGCAGGAATGAACAAAAAGGGATTCTTAGAGTTGTCTAATATCAATAAAACTGCTTTCCTATCTTCTTTGTCCACTAATAATCTCTTTAATCATATGAGTAGCTGAAATCAGTCTGTGCATAGTAAGTTTGAAAGTAAAGATCCCAGCGTCTACATTTGAAAACACTGACAATTAGGTATGATGCAGAAAGTTTCTTGATCAAATGTAAGCAACCCCTTCTAAGAATAAAACTTGTACAAATGATATACTGCTGCTTAAATTCATAGCCGAATGTTTTTTACACACAGGAAAAGTAATTTGTTTTGCTGCCCAACTTTGTACATTTCTGCTTGTAGACAATCATGCCGAAAAACAAAAACTAATTAATGAACAATTTCTTGATATGATTTATAAGATAAATGCAACTAGGCTTCCAGTGTCAGCATTTACTCTGTGTGCGACTTACTTTGAAGATGTCGTAGAAAAACTAAATATCTATGTAAGTCCATATTTTCCTATAGTTACCACATGTATTATGAGAACACAAACGATGCATGCTGCCCACTTTTATTGAATGTTCAACGCTGCATAATAAATTAAACACTTATAAGCAAGCAAATAAAAACTAATCAGTAAAATCAGATTTATTATTACGATTAGCTTGCACTGGTTGTGTTAATAATCGAATCCGAATTACAGTCGAATATCTCGGTTACAGAGCAGGATACCAACGTTAAAGTAATCCGTCAAATAATACTGTTTCACTGTAAGATACATCTGATAAATTGACTGAAATGGAACCATATTCAACCAAAGTCCCAAGTTTTAGGCCATTATTAAAACTGTTACTGGATACTTTTATACATCGTTTCATACTGTCAATAAATATGCTGATTTATTGCTGAGTACAGGAATGGACATGAAATACTTAACTAAAAAAAACGAAAATAACATAATAAAAATGAATGGATCAATAAATCTGACAATTAATTCTGTTTATCCTAAACATAGACTATAAACTTCAAAAAAATGATCTCATTAGAATCGGGTGTTGAGAAACTGTGGTTTGATCATTTAGATTTAGTACTATTCAGCTTTGGAGACAGTTTTCAGGGTAGACATTAGTTTCTAGAAAGTGTACAGCAGAAACCACAGAATAAACTGCCGTTTTCAGTTCAAGTGCATATAAATACGAAGGAAATAACACTAAACAAGAACCTACAGTCACCAAAGAACTACCACTACCAACAACTTTAAATAATTCATATGCATCACACGGTACGAGGGAAAATATCTTAATGGTTTATACCTACTGCTCAGCAGCAGGTGAAAATACTTAAATGATACAGTTTGAAGACAAATCTTAAAATTCAGGAACCAGCATACATTATCATATGTATATTAGCCAGAACTACTCTATGGAAACCAGTAATTATTTATCAAGCCAGTCACGGACTTAGTTTAGTCTTTTACAGTTTCAGTTCACTTGGATAATCTAGCGCATAAGTTTATGACATGAGTTTCCCCTAGTTTACTGACAGCTTGATGGTGAGTGTTAATAGGTGTGAAAATTAGATTTACAGCTTTCAGTTGATTAGTTCTGAACACCTATAACCAAACCAAGTGCTCTACGGTGCCCCATCACTTGATTTACTTGAGATAATATAAACCTAAGTGATAGACATCAGTGAAAACCCATTAATTAATCTTAATTTAGTTTACCACTTCAAACTGGTATTAGCAACTGGTTTGGAGTGATTTTAAAGGCGATTTTGCGAACGGCTCTAAAAGCCACCATGACAACCAATGGGACAACCAATCAGACTTCTCTACTTCATGAAAATCTACCCTCACAGTCGTAACAGAGATACCTAATTAGTTATTCCTATCCTTGCTGGGGTGGCTATTAAAGATGCTCGATTTTACAGACCGCCTTAGCAACTTCTGAAATAACCAATCAGGTTACGGTATTCCAGCTAGTAAAAGTGGGCTTTTTATAAAATAAAGAGAAGTAATTGGTTATCTCATCAGTTGCTAGGGTAGCTCTAGCAACGATCGAAATAGTCAATTAGGCTTCTTCGTTTCGGCTGGAAAGGCAGGTTTTCATCAAATAAAAATAAAAGTTATTTATTTCACTTGTCGCTAGGGTTGCCTTTAAAATCACCCGATTTAAATCAACTTTGCTACTTTTTTTGGAATGACACATTTGAATAAGTGTTTGGTGTTCGCAAAGCTTTTAAGTTTGTTCTTGAACTTTCATCACTGGGCTAGGTGACTTCATAAGCATTTACTTCACACAGAAAATATTCACGAGTCTTAAGTTCCAATTATTTAGGTAATAATTCATCTACTCAGTATCCCTTCAAAGTGTTGCTTTTCACTTTCGATAAGTCAGCAGCGATATGAACAACATTTTCGGAATTTTCGGAATTCTACATACCGATAGGTTGAATTGACTGAAGGAATATACACATGTCTATTTCAATGACAATCATATTTGAAAATAAGGTATGTAAAACATGAAGAATCCGGATCACTTGCAGTTGAATAAGTTAGCGAAAATCAGTGTAGCATGCCACCTGCCATTCTTCCTATTCTTATCTTTATAATCACATTTGCCTATATGCTTCTTACGCAACTACGTTTTTTCTAGTTTCATCCCATCTAAAGCGAAATCTTACTACTGTGAAATTAGTTTCCTTCAGATGGTAAACATTTAACTGTTACTAGCAGTTTAGAAAGAACCCAATAACCCAGAAATAGTATAACATTAAATTCAGTAAACTGAAACGTTAGTCATGTAATATTTTTCTCAGATTACGAAAATTTTAATTTCCAGTTGGTGGAGTACAGTGTTTTAAAAAGTTGTTCATAATCATCACCGTGCATTAATATAGGAGTAAAACTTGGGCACCACGGTCGATTGTAATTCCACTTTAGTCTGCTTATTAGAAATGTCACACAGTGAAACAGTATCCTTTACTGAATAACGATTCGGACACAATTTATTGTCCATATTCACATCATTTATATTCATAGCACCTGATATGAATATGGACAATAAATTGTGTCCAAAACGTTATTCAGTAAATGACACTGTTTCACTATGACATTTCTAATAAACAAACTAAAATGATATCACTGTGCATATTTCTAATAATATTTTACTATCTCAAATATGCACCCTCTTATATTCTACCTTTGTTTGTTTCAATCAAGTCACCGTCAGTCACATACTTTTACAATGGTGGACAATATAAATTTGAATTTAAAGAAACAATGAGAGTCAATCAATACGGTGCTAACTCAATGTATGAATGGATACGACGAAAAGTAGGCTCTCCAATTAAACTATTAAGAAATTTGCATGAAACAAAAGAGCTAATCAGTAAAAATAAACTGATTGTAATTATGTTCATGAAGGTAAGGTAATAGTGAATTGTTTAATTGTTAGGCTTATTAAAACACAGGTTTATTATGATTGACACCAATGTTTACCTTCAAAAGTTAGCCATACTAACTTATTAAATTCTCATGATCTTTAGTGAAGTACTTCCCCATAAAGATGTGTCGTATCTCATGTGAAGAAGCTTGACTGTCAAAAGTACTAATGGTCGTTAGGACTGGACATTACAATAGTGTAACCATGGTAAACTGTCAACATAGGTAAATTGTTTACACCAAATATTTTATTTATCGATAGATTTTCTTAATCAACATCAGTAATTCATCAAATATTTGTGTAAATAACAGAACTAGTAATTAAACTAGTCATTAGTCATGTACAGCGGCATTGGTTCTGTCAGTATCGTGTTAAAATTGTGTGCACGACACTGTGATATGAAGAGAATACGGTTTATGTAGTAATAGTATTAGTAATAGAACACAATAAAGGTAACTAATCCTCACTGATATACCGCCTATCCTTTAAAATTCTTAAACACTTAGAAGTAACAAGAACTAAAAACGAAGGCCAGAGTTTCAACTTACTGAAAGTGCATTTCTGAAATGAAAAATATCCATAAATTTGACTAAAGTATACGGGAGAAGAGAGGAGAAATTACTGAGGGTTAGTGAAAATATTCAATATTTGGAAGATGTTAAAAGACGAATATACCTGAGACATTGTGACCAATTTTTAGACATTCCACTGAAATGCAGTAACAATTAATTCTTATAGTCTTCAGGACCTTAGCAAAACAGTCAGCACTTTCCAACATGGTTAATATCTGTAGTCAAAGACTTCATGAACTTCTACCACTTGTTCATTTCGCCACTCTGAGTCTTCCTTTAAACCATTCTCATTTCGGATAGCATAACACTTTTCAATAGACAGTGACTTGGCATGAGTAACACATGTTCAAGCCACCCAAGTCAATGAAAGTCCCCAACTTCATTGAATGCCTTACCCTCCTCACCTAGTACCATTCTGTAACTTGACCACTGATCACACTGTGATTCCACGACAAGTCAAAATCTCTCCCCTTGACATCTAATTTCAGTGATTGTATCTTACAGCGATGTCTGCAGTCCAGTTGAAATCTCCTTCAAATCGTTCCATCAAACTCTGCAGCTACCTGTCCTAAGATGTTATCAGGTACTCCTCATTTCCAGTGATAATATCATTAACCATAGTCTTTCTCTTGCCGATATCCTTAATAAGTCGAAACAACTGCAGAGTATTACCTATTACTGATACCTTTTACGCTAAAAGGACTCCTAACCAACTTACCTTTTGTTGGTTTTGCTTCTCATGATGGTCACAGCCAGATAGGATGAGTATTTTTGCATCAATCAATTTGAATGAGATTGTGGGAATCCACTGGTTGTTGCTAACCGCTAGATGTAGGTTACCAAATGTCTTTACCGCTATTTCCACGGCAGACTGAATATCACATCAGACTTTATCCGCAAGTAGACTGATACGGCGTCCACATAAATGTTTAGTTATCTCTTCCGCAAATGTAAATTTGATGTTCTCAACTTCAGGTCATACATACAGAGGTTTAATTGCCGTATTTTCCTACATCCATTAAGGCACGAGAATGTTCTTAGTGAAAAGTGATCGAAACAGATGAAGGCATTTCAGAAAGAGCATCAGTCCTGCACCGATCCTTCCCAACCATACCTTATGGTAATCTGATCTATTTCTTCATAAAGGTGTAAAACTTGGGCACTCTGGTAGAATTTAAATGCACATTAGATTTTTTTATTTGATTTATAACACATAGTGATATAGTATTACAAATCAAATAAACAAATATGGAATGATCTACTTTTTGTCTATCATTGACTTGATGTCAGCAGACCCTATGTAACGTTGGTGCTGGATAGAAACAGGTGATTTTCAGAACGAAATCCCAACACACGATCACCGCTGTCTTTTCTCTAGCATGGGATACCGTAGATGCCTGCCTAATTCCTTCCCGACATGACCATTGGAGTCGACTGCTGTTAAGAGTATATCTGAAAGTTTTCTTCGATGTAGGGAAATTAACAGTTTTTGATAGGATCCATCCTTTATGTCACCCGAACTGCATTTGGTTTTTTAAGTAGGCTGGTGGACAGAGACTAGAAATCGGCTAAAATCGGTATCACGATATTTCCCAGTTTTCAGAGACCCACTCAATTGAACAGCACACAGATGGTTTTTGACAGGTTTCCAGTCGAGAAGTGTACTTTCCGCTCGTCAGACTGATACTTTGCCGGCATCTGCAAGTCTACCAGAGCTAGTCATCGAATCTCCAGATACCTTTGAAGTCAGTTTTACAGATCAACCGAATTGATAGGGTTAGTTAAAATAAATAAACACACTTAGGCTCTGTATGCATGTCTCAGAAACACAGCATGCACGCATGACTCAAGATTCCACAGTTTCGGGGTTTTGACTAACTGAGCTAATAACTGAAAGATGTTTTCTTTTAGAAGAGATTAGTTATAAAGCCTCTTAAAATTGTCTGATAATGGTAAATTACTTCATGAATTTCCGGCAATCCAGTCAATTTTGTGGAATAAACCAAATGGCTTTATTACTGTAGAAACGTTGTTCACCTTTTCAATATATATTTTCCACCTTTCATAATCACTTTAGTATCTATAGACACTTTATGCTCTACAAGCAAGTTTTTTCACAGAATTACATCATAGTTTTTTTTATTGCCAAACCGTCTAACATTTGGTTATTCTCAAGCCGTAATAATAGATTTGACTAAAATGACGTTAATGGAGTCCGTAAAAAGTTTAACCGGAGGATACAACATTTACTCAACAAACAAGTGTATTCGTAGTTGAACTTAGATATGCATAAACCGATTTAAATAAGAATTACAAAACAAGGAAATCAAGCGACAAATGTTCGCCTAATTGTCACCACCGAATCCACGTAAGATTCTCAATAAGGCTGAGATAAGAGTGACATTTAAACCACCAAAACTAGACCAAAAAATAGCTTTGAAGTTAAAAAGATCCTATTGACCTAATGAGGCAAAATAATGTAGTTTACTGAATCCCTTGGAACGACTGCGAGGTCAAATACACAGTTCAAAGTAGCCGGTCAGGCTCAGTTAGGCTATCTGAGTACAAAATCCTAGTTGGGTCAAAATTGATAGGTCCTTTAAAGATAAAGAAAAAAGCTCGCCTATAGCTCTGCATCCAACTGCACACAAATACACAATGAGACGAGACAGGGTGTAAATCCTTAAAACTAACATAGCAGGGGGAGGGAGAGTTAGATAACCGAGTCGTTGTTTATTTACGCGACACCTAGTATATGTGACAGGAATTACTCAACATCTGTTCCGGATATGTGGAAAATCCTACTACCCATATCACGAAAGAGGCGAGAAAGTTGGAACTATATAAAGCATGTCTCAAAGTTATGTTGTTATCTTGATATGACTATGGACAATAAATTGTGTCCCAAACGTAATCTAATGAAACATAGTACTGTGATACATTTAATGAGTCGAATGAAATGGAATTATATTCTACCACGATTCTCAAGCTTTACTCTTATATTAATAATGAATTTCATGACAACTGTTAAAATTAAACAGTGTGAAATATATAGCATGTTCAGTGACTGCAAAAGACAAGTAAACATACAATTTGATCTTGTTAACGAGTTCGAAAAGTAATTTAATTAACTATTTTATCTGGCTAAAATACTTACCCTACTGATTTAGTTAAAAAAACTTGTTTAATCTTTTCAGGGGAGGTTGTTTGATTTACTGCCTATCTTCATTGTTTGTTTAGGTGAAGTCTTCTATGACTTTCATGAAGTAAATAACATAAAAGTCAATGGTCATATAGAACAGACTAAGTTATCTTTAAGTTCCTCAAGGTCATAATTATCAAATGATAAGATTTCAAATTTTTTCGCTACCAAATCTGGTAGTTAGCTGATGCTTCATGATATCCATTTTTACTTTAATTCATAATCCGCACATATAATTCAAGGATGAAAACTAACCACTATTGTGGGAGAATCTCAAGCAGAGGTTTCTCTTAACATTTTCGTAAAAGCAAGAAGACTAAGATTTGAAGATAAAATAAAATTCATATTGTTGCGCGGCTCCTTTTCTAGCTATAAGCAGCCGAGAACAAATAAATGCCTAAAATGGAGCAAAGTAAGTCTTTTGCGTTTGAAAGAAGTAGAGGTACAAGATGGTAAACTAAATCCGAATACGGATATCAATGAAAGAAAGTGTGTCGCTTTATTGTTCATTCTTGTTTTTTAAACTTAAGTTTTAATCTCAGAATCGATTGTACCGTATAAGCTTAAAAGTAAGTTGATTAGTGTCACACTTAATAGTTGATTATCAGTGATTACTTGTGAGTGTATCTCCGTACACGTAATACAACTGTCTATCTGAAAGGGAGGCTTACTCGTAGCGCAAATACAGTGCAATAGCTGCGATATAAATTATTCGTTTGACTGCAAACTGCGTGCGAAACATCATATGAAATTTCTATCATCACTTAATGGTGAAAAGATTCGAACCGTCAAAAGTGTTATGTAATACTGTTTTCCCACAAGCATGTACATAATTTGTTCAGTATCTAACTCATTAAGTTCTTGAAAATTCGTCTTATCGAAAAATAAGGGGAATAATTCCATTTAATTTGATTTATTACATGTTAAACACCTCATTTTCATGAAGTTCAGATGTTAATTATAACATCCAAAAATGTATAACTACTAACTACAGAATGAACTTCGGTTATTGTTGTTGCATTGTTGCTTTTTTGTGCTCAGAAATGAATATATCCCATCTAGTTAGAGTAATTACATGAGATGAAATGATATTAAAAGTAGACCGGATTATTTAAAATTCCTACGGTATCTAATCAATGCGCAGTTGATCATCGTTTAAATAACTGTAGCCAATTCCTTGACAGGAAAATTCATCACTTGACCATATTTCAAAGTGAATCAAGTATCGTGTCACTTCTCAATAGGATTTTTCTTGATTTTCGACAATCGATGAAACCTTTCATCTTAAAATCTGGTTATTGTCATGACTTCCTACTTACGGACAGAAACATTTATTGACGAATCTTTTCAGGACAATCTAAAAAACTGTTATGTCTCAAGACAACCTAATCCAGTTTACATTCACTCCAAAAGAGATTTTCCTTTAGCTTAAAGGTTTTCTCTCAAATAATTTAGAGAAAGAGTATGAGCGATGACGGAACTTTAGTCATTCAGCATTGAATTTGGAAGTTAGGTGAACAAGATGAGACTTAAGTTGACAACCAACTTACGAAACCATCCATATTTCAATGAAAACGAATCTTCTTTTGCAATGGTGACCATTACGTTAGTTATGTTGTCAACACCGTAACTGCATTTCTATTGTAATTTTTAATTGTTTACAGGAAGCGAATGAGAAGATAATGAAAAATTACAGTTACGTCTCTGAACAAGTTGATCATATTGCTTATGGTTTGGTCTATGAAAAAATAATTCATGATAATTTTGGAATAACTAATCAAAGTTTATTGATGATTAGGAAGAAAGTGAAGACACTGAGGTAATGCTGTATATGCAAAATTTCTATCAGTAGTTGTCACTTATTTTCATTATCTCATTATAAATATGACGCGTTTCAAATGCCTTCAAATGATCAAGAATGGGGTACAAAATGGCTGGAGTCATAGGAATTCTGTCGTCTGATAACCCATATTGTACAACTATTGGCCAAATAAATGGTATTCATGTAAGCTTTCTCGCTTGACAATAAGGCTGAAAGCGATGGCAGCCTACCAAAATATGAGAGTCTCGAATATTCTTTTAACGCCTGTCAACATTTTATGTCACAGATTGCGAAGTTAGTTCCGAAAACTGGTCTCACAATAAAATTCAAGAAATGAGTGTGGAAATCTGAGATTCTGAATGTGATCCGGATTTTTTGAGCGTCTTACTAGGTATATGTTTGGATGGTACGCTACTAGATTATTCGAAGACATAGAAGAAGATTGACGACATTAAACCTAACAGAGAGCATACTTCAGAATGAAATTTGAAAAAAATCAATAAAGGAAGGCGATATTGAGGTCAGTAAAACGGATTTGAAGGAAGCGAGAGAAAATAGAAGAATATTATTGATTACTTCAGAATTGCGAGGACATGAAATACAAAGTAGATGGAATGACTTTAAAGGCAACCACTGAAATAACCGATTAAACTTCTGTATTTTATGAAAATCTGCCTTTCCAGCAGAAATGGGAAAACCTAATTGGTTATTTCGTTCCTTGCTAGGGTGGCCTTTAAAGTCGCCCAAGTGCATCTGCATTACTGATCAACTTTGAGTTATGTTACCCAATAGTCTGTCACTACAAATTATTTGAATCACCTGAACACCAGCCAGATGGCTCTCACTTCTTTATACAGTTTAGCGTAGCAATCGACAGCTTCATAGATTATTGCCAGGTTATGGTTTGTCAATTTCAACTTTTTCCAAACTATTCCGTCTCCATTTAGCAATATTTGAGGAAGAATATGATTTATCATGGTGAGTAACACATGCTCAAACTACTTCAGACACTCTAAATTCATGAATGACCGACCATTATTACTAGAATGTTCACACCCAACCTTCATACGGCTCAGTGTTATGTTCCATCAGGCGCAAGTCATGTAATTAAGGTATAAAGTTTACCATCTTTAACCTTCTACTATCCATGTTCAACGACTTTGGCTCAAAGATGAATAGTAAAACAAAAAGATATGTTGTACAGCATACCTACCCTTTAATAGGTGTTGCGATATCTCTAAATGAAAAGATAAAAATAAAACTACTCCTTTTTATTTTATCTTAATATTCTATCTGAATTTTTCTCATGTTGGCTGAGTGCAACAACTTCACTTATGGTAAGACTGAAATTAAGTACAGGTTAGTCCTACAGTTGGATCATCTTAATTTTAGAAAATGTGAAAGGCATGTCAATACATTCAAATTTTTGCCAGAAGAACTTAAGAAACCTTAGTATACCAACGGAATATTTTAAAGGCCTATGTTGTCTCCATGCTTAAGGTTCGCTGAAGCTCATGGCAGGATCCTATTGATTTCTAAGAAGCTGTATATAAGCAGAGCCTCGATCATTAGTAAATCACTAATGACTGTTAATTAGACACGATATCATTGAATATCCCTTCTCAATATCCCTGTTTGTCATCACCTTAGCCTACATCTCTAAGTAAGTCTTCACAAACTGACCTTCATATAAAAAGTAGAGATGCAATGTCTCCGCGCCAACTGAGTCAAACATCGATTTCACGTCATTGGATGTAAAAAGTTTCTTGAGGCTAGTAAGCATGGCTGGGTTCCAGAATCTGAAGAAGGGCTAGGAACTAATCAATACGCTCTCCTCTCGCAATGTAGGAGTAGAACAAGAACCCCTCATTAATTTGCAATCCTGCCTTAATCTCTTATTGCATATTTCGTACAGCAAAACAGTGTTATTTACTAGATGATGTTTCGAGCATCATTTATTGTTGATTGTCATATCATATGACACTCTATCTCAGAGGTGCAAGCAAGTCGTTTCCACAGGCTTACTGTTTAAGGTCTGAAGTTCGGTTACAAGTGGCTTTGAACTCCCTGAAATCTTAAACATCATGTTAACCGAATGGACTCACTTGAAGTCATACAGAAAGTTTTCTGTTGATTCTCAGGAACTGGAAATGATAACAAACAATCTCAGGCTGGTTGAAGCCTTCCTAAATATCGTTACGCTAGCTAGCGCTTCAATTTTTCTAACTTACACATCCGCGTGCTTATCCCTCAAGAATTCTGCTGGGAAACCACTGTTTCCTTTGAAACTCAAATATCATGTGCTAACGCCAGGGCAAGCTTAATTTCATGTGTCTGAACACCTTAGAAAGATATCGTTCCCCAGTATGCTATCCCGGTCATTCTCATTTCATCGATGATTGTTGTTCCCAGAATTCTACTGCAATCTTTTCCAAATGAAACTGACGTCACAATTTCGCTCAAGTAAACGTTTATTGCATTTTTGGTTACAAAAGATTTGGTTAATAAATTGGTTTGGTGTGCTCGAAACGATTATTGTATCAAACTATGGAACCGCATGTGTACACTACACTTCATTCTTTCTTCATTGAATGGAATAAGTTGCACCGTTGGCAAATAAGCTACTCTTTCACGTTCCTAGAGTCACTAATTATTATGCATGAAGCTAAAATACAGATGGTAATTAGACCTATGTCAGAATGCTTCTGTGAAGTGAATGAAGCTTAACAATATTAATATTGAGTAAATACTGTTTGAGAAACAAACACTATTCAAATCCAATGATTATTTTTTTGAAAATCATTGTACAGGGAGCGAATTTTTTGAAATATCACATGCTGAGTATTCCATTATGTACCACAAGTCTTGTTTCGAATAAAGCTATTATTGTTGTTTGTTGTTAACATACTTGACTAATGTGGAAAATAAAGTTCTAGTTAATAGACGGATTTTATGAAACATATGGTGACTGTTTTAGAAATTGCTGAATACAAGTAGAACTCCATTTCTGGTCTGTTTTCAGCTTGAAAAAGAGATCAAGAGGAAAGAAGATGTAGATAAAAACAGTATCAACAATTTTTTTAATGCCTATCATTGTTTTTCTACCATGTTTATTCCCTAGCCTTGCAAAATTATCGAGAATTCGCTACTTTTTTCGAGACAGTTACAATGAAAACAATTACTGTTTGCCCCTTCTTTGTTTTGTTATTCTGTTGTTTCATCACATTAATATTATATGTATTCATTTGAAATTATTTCTAATTTCGGTCATCTACTTAGTCTCGTAAAGGTTTACTTACCTTTTCTATTTACTACTGAACACCAAAAGTTGCTAGGTCATCCGGGTCATTTCTAGACAGTAAGTTAGAATCAAGTGGTTAGAATACTGTGGATTTCCAATATTGAACTTTCTTTCAGAATATCACTTATGAGATCAGCTATGATTGAGTGGTGGGAAAATTTCGTGTTGCAGACCACTCTAATTGAACGAACAAAATTTGAAGACTGATGTATAAGATATTAACTGCTCATATTATCCAGTTATGTACTTTATTTTAGACGTATTGTTTTTAGAGGCCACAGTTTATGTCCTTAGTTGATTGATCTACAGTTAAAACTTTGCGCTAGAGGTTGAGAAATTTGAAAACATTATTCGGTATGACAAACCCTATTGAGGACCATACCATATCTAAATAACTCACACCTTATTTAACCAATGTTCTGATACTTATTTAATGCCTTTTGAAAAAATGAAAATGTTTTCTTCTTCTTCTTCCATTTAGCCGAGTGATTTGATTTATTCAGGAAATTGGGATATTGAATCTTTGGGCTCTTTTCTACTTATTGAATCTTCCCCATATGTCAGTGAATTTCAACCAAGTGAACTAACCTATTTTGATAGTAGTATAATCAGATTTAATGCGTATCTATTTCTTCTACAATCTGATCCAGAATTTTCACAAGTAATAAACACTTATCAAAAGGCATGTAAACTGTTTCGACCAAAGGTATGTGAAGCATTTTCCAGTTGCAAGAAATTTGTTAGTGTTATCTACATGAAGGTAATCTTAGGGTGTAAATTTTTGTTACTGCTAGCATTTATAGATTATTGGATTACACAGATATTGTGGCAAGTAACATATTTACATACATATTATTGTATGGAAAAGGAGAAAATTAAGTAATGAACATCCTTTTCGACCAATTCTAATACCCTTCAGTAATGCAAATTAGGAATTCTTTCTTAGATTAAACTCATAACTACTTATAATCTTTAAGTGACAGATTTTGATTTAATGAATTAAAAATCTTAACCAAAACAAAATCGTAATATAGCACAGCTTCCTCCTCTAAGTTTTTTTTTCTTAAGTAAGAAAAGGTATATGGTAGGAAAACTAATGTCTATAAGTCCATTGTTTCCAGAATAGTGTCAAAATTATTTGAAATCATTATAAACATTAAAGTTCTCGTTAATAAATTATACACTACGTGGTAATCATTGAACATATTTTCAAGATGGTGAACATTTTTTTCGGTGAAGACATCGTATTTAAGTAGAACAAAATCTATTCAAGTCAAGCTTTAGTTGGTAAATGACAACTTCAATGAACATTTAAAAGTGAACTACGACACAAAATAGTAAGTTATAACCGCTGCATATTCAGTGGTTCATCTTATTAGATATGCATTGATGAACATTATGAAAATGTGTAAGTTTAAAAAAACAACTGCAATATGAATTTGAAGAAATAAATGCATTTTACGGTATGGTGCACGCGAAATTTCAGTATTTGAGATGAGAAAACCTTACGACGTGGATCAGTTTTGTATAGAACTTCATTAGATGGACCTTAGGTTAATAACAGAATAATAATGAAAGTAACTGATTTATTTGTTGTGATATTACAGATGCTGGTAGCACTGTGGCTTTACTTCTGCACTAACACACCCAAAAGACACAGTCAGTGTCAAAAGAGGAGATTGAAATAAACGTATTCAAGTCCAAAGCACACAATCTTAAAAAAGCAAGCACTAGGTAATTACAAGTATTTGTAAATTGAAAATCGTCATACGTTTCTGGAAACGTCATGGCTTTATTCCACTTGCTGGTGTTTCACTCAAAAATAGAATTTTGAAACAATTAATAGACAGACATTCAAGTAAACTAAAATCAAAACAAAAAACCTGGTTAACCACACCTCAAGCAGGCGATATTCTTTCTGGTGCTTCTACACTATGATAATTTGATATTTTACGGTGCACATAATAACATTTTTCTTTTAGAAAAAGCAGTGTTAAGCATTAATACGACTAGAGTACATTTGTGTTTACAATATCTTGAAAATTTTTATCTAGTTATGACAAACAATGTTGCTTGCTTCTGTACAAATACCATAGAAACCTTGTCACTATTTTTTAAATTCACATACATAAACGATAAATGCAAATCCATACTACAAATATTAACAGCAAATACTATTAAACTACACTATTTGATGTTCAAATGGTAACTGAAGATAAATCAGCTCACGTTGTTCATGCATGATAATATTATCATGTCAGAAGTTCATTTTTCTGCCTAATTGGGAATTTACAAATGTATTCCTTTTATAAGTATAAAATATTTGTGTAGCCACTACAGTGCATTAAATATGAAAATATGATGGGACAGCTGCTGGATGTGAAATAGTTATGTGATAATTTTAATTTACAAAAGATAATTTATTATGATATGAATATTTTTACATTTACACGTCGTTATTGGTTAATAGATGCCACCAACCATTAGCTAATTCGATTGGTTTTATATTTTAGCTATACAATTAGACTAGTCTCACACACAAAGTGAGTGGTTCAGTCACTCATCAGTAAAGTATAGGCAACGTAACATGAAAGTAAAGTCACTCAGAGCACTACATAGTCCATTTACTTTTACAAAGAAACTAATCGTTTGCTCCTGAAAAGACCTCAAATTCAATTGTATAGGAAATGTACCAAATAATGCTTTGAATCATTGTATTTTGCATTACAACCTCTTCTAGAAAACTAGTTCACTAGTTACTAGCCGGTCCTAAACCCGGATAAAGAGGGAAGGTTAGTCATAGGGCTACCAACCCTATCCCGTAAAACCAATCCAATCGCGAAAGAAACTTCAAAGCACGAAGAAGTTATAAAAAATAAAAAGGAGCTTATTCCTCTTTGGAATCGTAGAGACGAAATGACGCCGGTTGGTCAAAGTCTTCGGGAAGCCAATTAGTCGGGCCGATGTGTCTTCTCTCGATGAAAGCGAAGGTAAGAATAGGGGCATGGATGTCTGCACCATGTATGAATCTAGCAAGGCTACCCAGATTGCAAAGGAGATGAGAAGATTTAGCATTGAAGTGTTGTGAATCTGCGAGGGACCAGCAGATGGAATGGAAGTGGACTCTCCAAACTGTCAACTGGACAGTCAATAATCCACTCCGATATTACCACCCAGACGACAACTACAGGCACACTGGGTTCGAGAGTAGCTATCATGATGTCCCCAAGAGCAGCGAATTCTCTCATCCAGTGGGAACCAACCTCCTCCTACAGGATCAGGATCATGACAGCAAGACTCAGCTCAAAAAGAAGGAAGGTCACGATCATACAATGCTACGCTAAGGACATACGCATAATGCGGATCAAGAGAAGAAGTAGGAGTTCTACTGACAACTGCAATGAGTACTGGACAAGACCACACGCCAGTTGGTGACATCAAAATTCATTCGGATGGGTGACATGAATGCCACACTGGAAGCGGACAACACAGGAAGATAAATCATCATGGGTCGAGAAGCACTCAGTGAAGTGATGAATGAGAATCGAGAACTATTTGCAGACTTCTGTGCATTTAATCACTTGGTGATTGAAGTCAGACAGTGTGTACAAATACAAGGATATTCACAAGGCGGTGATATGGATTTGATTTCACCAAACACCAGGATACACTCAGAATCAGATCGACTTCATTTCAATGTGAAGAAAGTAGAGATGCAGCCAACTGGACACAAGATCAGATCATGAAGAGGAGCAGATGTAGGATGGGACAACTCATCATCTAGTGCAAGGAACCTGCCTACCTACCTTAAAAATCGAGTTGAAAGCCTTCAAAGAAGCTGGTTATGACAGACCACAGTTGAAGTTGAACATCTAGAACAGAATCTGAACAGAAGGACGAAACTACAAATGACATCTTCACGTCAGTCAGTCAGTCAGTCATCAGGAGAAAATGGGAGATATTGAGCAACATCTCTGAAGGATGGGGCGTGGAATAACACTGGAACTGTTTGAAAGAGATGTGGGAAGGAACCTGCATAACTGTGTTAGGAAGGGAGGAAAAAGAAGACGAGACAAGGAATTGATCTCGACGGAGACATGGAAGCTGATAGAGGAGGGAGAGGTAGAGGAAGAGGAAGAGGAAGATGGTGAAGCAGAAGATGAGCTAGTGCAGTGCAGTGCAGTGCAGTGCAGTGCAGGGCAGGGATGAACAACGAAAAGAGGGACTGAACATTGCCAATGAAAAACACTAGACTGGACAAAGAAGTGAAGAAGAGTGCGCGAAAAGGCAAAAGACACTACTACGACACATTGGCAAGTGAAGCAGAACAGACTGCAGGTAGCAGAGACAGAGACCTGAAAACACTATGTCAACCAACCAAAATACTATCTGGGAAGAGATCAACATAGACGAAACCAATGAAAGACAGTGAAGGAAACCTAGTTACCAGAGAAGAGAAACAAAGGAAATGATGGGCTGACCGCTTCAGAAAACTCGTGAATCGACCACCACCATCACCACAAACTGCCACCCCTCCAGAAATACCACCAGCAGACCAGCCACAGAAACGTCGGCTTACACGAAGTTTACCACAAATCAGAAATCCTGAACGTCATAAGGCTACTGAAAGGCGGGAAAGCAGCAGGACCAAATGGAATTCTACCAGAAGCTCTAAAACAGACGCACATTCATCAGCAGACATGCTCACATCACTACTACAGGCAGTTTGCATGGAAGGAAAGATACCCGTCGATTGATTGAAAGAAGGGCTTCCTTATCAAACTCTCAAAGAAGGGAGACCGGATTCGGAGGTGACTAAGCTGTGCAACTCTGTTAAACAGTTGCTACGATCTCGAAGTCCTAGTTCACGTAGAACTCCACAGAAACGCATCTTAGCGCATCACAGCAACTTGCGTGGTTGCCTCAAAACTAAGCCTAACAGGGTGGAAAACCCTGGGTAGTGCTGGTTTCATAATACTTACGGAGACGAAGCCAGAAAATGTCGGAAACCATACAGTTTTAACAAGGACACAAACTCAGGAAACGGTTACATTGGCATATGTTCACGGCAACCGTAGCCGGCGGAAACAGCCGTTTGCTCTACGTCACGGACATTAAAACGAACGTTCGCTACCTCGTCGACACCGGCGCAGAAGTTGGCGTTCTTTCCTGACCGACGAAAGAGCGTCATCTTGACCCATCCTTCAATCTCCAAGCAGCCAACGGCAAGGCAATCGCGGCGTTCGAGAGACTGTATGCCTACCTCAACTTGGGTTTACGTAAACATATTCTATGCTCATCATTGGCTTAGATTTGCTAAACCATTACGACTCACTCGTAGATGCTCGCCGTCACCATTGCACATGTTTCCCGAAAAGGATAGCGAAGACTGGCGTCCAGCGGTGATTACCGAAGGCTTAACGCCAAAGCAGCACCGGCGGATAGCACAGTTATCGAAATTCTTGACGAAGTGCCTGGTAATGCACACTCACGACAACCATCGGCGCAACCAAAAACACGATCAGGTCGAACCATCAGGTTCTCGGAGTATTTGAAGTGGTATTCAACTTAGTGGTGTGAAATAAGATGTGCCTGCCATATTCTTTTAGTTCGAAATTTTTATTCCGGGGCACCGTTTTTCTTATTTGCCAGCAATGAGAAACTCCTCGTACATTCTCACTTTTTATACCAATTTTTATTACCATGTAATGAAACTTTAAAAAAACGGTGAAAATGAGCGTAAACTTTATTTTCGATACGTTTATATATGAATGATTCCCATTTTTACAAAACGTTTCCGTGGTATTAAAGACTTTTATTTATATTCCAGGTGCAACGAGCACTGGACGGAACGTCAAAAGGAACCAAGGACCGCGATCGACGTGCAATTCGATTTATTGCATTCTATTATTAAATTGCCACGACACCCTAGAATAAGTCCGGACAACCAGGGGCCACTTTACGCAGTGAGCCCATCGGAAGAGTCTTACCAGTGAAGAAAACGCTGGGTTTTTACTTCCTGCTGGTATCGTCCTAGGGTCCTCGCGGACCAACTAGTGGGGAGGGGAATGATCTGCAGCGTCACACATTTCCCCAGAATCAATAGCCTAGGGTTTGACGACTCTCGACATTGATACTGACCTTGACAGTTCAACTGGACTGGCTAAGCTGAAGGCACCCTGTCAAGCATCCTCGCCATTTGGCACGCTGTCGTGTTACTTTGCATTGCTCGTAATCGACTCTCTAGCCAGTTAGTTGGAACGCATCGGTATTTTGGCACAACCTTCCAAATATACTGTTCCATCCGGCTACGCCATCGTGTTCTTCCTTGGTCTCGTATTCGTGGGTATATAACAAGTCCGAATAATTAGTGATTGGTCTTTGCGTCTGTCAAGTTCGCACTGGAACAAATCCAAAAAATCTTCCAAATAAGACGAAGTCCCGAACGCCATAAGGCTACTGAAATGCGGGAAAGCAGCAGGACCAAATGGAATTCTACCAGAAGCTCTAAAAGCAGACGCACATTCATCAGCAGACATGCTCACATCACTACTACAGGCAGTTTGCATGGAAGGAAAGATACCCGTCGATTGATTGAAAGAAGGGCTTCCTTATCAAACTCTCAAAGAAGGGAGACCTAAGTCTTTGCAAGAACTGGCGCGGAATCATGCTCCTGTCCACCCAAAGCAAGCAAAATATTATGTCGCATCATCATGGAGAGACTAAATAATGCTGTGGTTTCGAAATTACGACCGGAAGAGGCTGGCTGGCTGGCTGGCTACCTTCAAGAAGAACAAATCATATGGGGATCAAATTGCAATGCAACGCTACGCTACACATCATCACAGAACAGAGTGTAGAATGGCAGTCAAATCAACTCAAACTCAACTTCATCGACTTTGAAAAGGCCTTCGACAGCGTCGACCGACAAGTAATTTGACAGGCAGTTGGTTCAACACTACGGTTCCAGTGTCACAAACCTCTGTCAACCTCAATCAACAGCTGTTCAGTATGTTATGTGATGCTACATGCCAAGTGATTCACAATGGAAAGCTCACTGATGCCTTTGAAGTGAAGACAGGGAACAGGAGTTAGACATGGTTTCCGCCTACTGTCATCACCAATCATCTTCCTGATTGTGGTTGACTAGACTCGACTGAACTGGATCATGCAACAGACAACTGTGAGGAGGGAGTGAGAAGAGTGAGGGGTATGCGCTGTTTGGCCTATGAAAAGACCCTAGGAGATTTGAATTTCGCTGACGATGATTTATGTCTAATGTCTTGTCACACAAACTCGAAGATCTACAGGTGGAAACCAACAAGTTGGCAGAAGAGGCAAGACCTCGAAGATGGGACATCCTTCGGGTGACTGTAGAGAAGATAGGGGTGATGAAGATACCTAACCAACAACAACAAGCATTAATCACCATGAACAGGAGAAACCTGAAGGAATTAGTAGTCTCTTTCAGCCACCTACCTAGGTAGCACGGTTTCAACTACAGACAGCGGCGGCGGCGGCGGCGGCACGGATGAAGACGTCAAAGCCAGGATCGGAAAAGCAAGACAGGCTTTCATTAATCTGAAGCCAGTGTGGAGATCTACTCCACTGCATTGCACTGCACTGCACTGCACTGCACTGCACTGCACTGCACTCATCACAAGGCGTGAACAAGATCTGGATTTTCAGCACTGATTCAGTCGAGTAAGTCAGTGCTTCGGTGCGATGATTCAGAAACATGGCGCGTTACGAAAAGCATCTCCAACGAACTCCGGACGTTCATTACATCGACAGCTGCCGCGTACGCTCACTCAATGCTGAAGATGGAGATCAGGTGGACAGAATGATAAGAATAAGCAACAAGGAACTCTGGCCAGGTAAGGAACCAACCAACCAACCAACCATTCAACCAAGAACCTAGCGCTGAACAAATATACAGAAGGAAGTGTAGATGGATAGTTTGTGATATGCACTGAAAAGACGGTTTGGGGACATCACGTGCGAGGCGCTCGAGTGGACCCCACAGGTGAGACGACGAGTTGGGTGTCCCAACTGAGGGTGGCATGCAGGAGATAATGTGAGGAAGAAGTGAGAGCTTGTGGGCAGTCGTGGAGCCAGGTTGAGAAGACTGGAGATGATCGAGTGAAGAGGAGACGTGCTACTGAAGCTGTATGTTCCACTAGGAACCCAAAAGTCAAATAGAATATAAATAATTTTGGATTACGATTCTAGACAATATCAAGTCTTTTCTTATTTCCATGTATGTGAATTACAGTGTTTTGCCGGTAGCAGACGACGGTATTTTTTCCACTCAAGATTCGCTAACTAGATTATACATAGAAAAATTGCACACACTTCATGGATCTTGTTGAAGATTTTGTGCGTCTACTGATTGTTTCCCTGTTTAACAGGCAAATATGCTTGAGGAGCTCAAAACTTGAGCTAATGAAACCTACCTTTTAGTGATAAACCCCAGATGAGGGCTAACATGATCACCCATGAATTATAAACTGTATATTTTTACCCTTTGAAACAATGTTATACAGATTAATTGTATAATTTATATGACATATTTACTACTGCTACTTATTTCACTGGTTGGTGAACCACAGACAGAATCAACTAATTTATCCATAGGTTTTGGTTATCGGAATAACTATTAAAAATTCTTCATAATGCTCTAATTTTAGTATTTTTTTCAAATTTATCTATTATAGATACGTTGTTATTTTGTTAATATGGCCAAGAAGGCAAATTTAGTTTTCGCTAAGCAGCAAGGTGTACACATGGGTTATGGTTATCCTCGATTTCACTTGGTAGCTACTTCCTTAACAAAACCATCACTACATTACCGTTTAAGAGGAGGTAAATTCGAATTCGGACAAAAGAACTTTCATGATCCTGACCTGATGAATTTGATTAAAACTCAGGAAATCACTACATTTTTCAACAAACTTCTCCAACATAAATTATCTCCTTTTTACATAAGTGAAGTTATTCCAGAGGATTATGATGACTTCAGTGAATATGAGAATTTAGCGCATATACCCGTGACTGACACGCAGAAAACGTCACCCAATAAACTTAGATTTGTGAGCAAAATCGTTGGAGCAACATTCAAGAGATTAGCGAAGAATTCAGATTGGACATCTGTTGTGTATTTTAGTGAGTTGTTGTTGCGTCATAAAACTTGTCGCTTAACTGACCCATCAATTTTAATTAGTGAATGAACAGCCACAATGGTTACCGTCCTATTGCCAATTCACTCAAAAATATGTTAAAGATCCACTCTGGCTGGTCATTGTAACGAAGAGCAAATAGCAAGCTGACTACTAGAAAGGCCAAACGTCTTTAAGTATATTTATTTAGAAATAAAACTCTCGCCTTTCAACTTGAAGAATGGAGATCATCAACAAGCCTGATGTTTTCAGTTTTCTTCTTACTTTATTCCTTCTCAAACTTAAATCATATAACTGTGAATAGACAAAATTTCAATTTTTAAGGTTGACTAGTTCTATATCAATGAGACGTAGGATGACTATAATTGTCACATGTTGAAACAGTTTCTTTTAGTGATAGTCTGCTCTGAGGGTGAACTTTGGACGACTCCTGAAGAATAAACTAGGAGAGTTATCACATGATTATCACTTTATCAATATAACGACACTATTCACCATTGTCCATTCCAATTTGGCTTCCTACGGACTGACCCTTTTGAGGAGCCACCAGGTCTCCAATTTGACGAGATATCAAGAAAATGAAATTCTGAGTTGGTCTCAACTTCCATCATAAGATTGACAGAGGGATGACTCCCATTGAACTCAAGAAGAATTCCATCAAGATCAATTTTCTCATAGCAGACGATGAAGGTATCATCCACATATCTTCTATATAGATGGGTATGATTAACGCTTGGAAGTAGTACAGTATTTTCCAAATCAGCAGCGAAGCAATCTGTTAGAAGAGGACTCAATAGCGACCCCATGTCTACTTCATCATTTTGTCGATAAGATTCGTTTATTAACTTGAATTGCACATTAAAAGTGCATCGTGGAAGTAATTCCTTCAGATAATGAACTAGTATACCGACTGCTAGATTATTAGTTTCGATTTATCTACACACTTGTTTATTTAACTATTAGTCATCACGTTAATCTACCTCATACACACTTGATGAGATACCCCGTTTCTAACTCTACAATCGATCCGCTACTTCGCCCTAAAACATTCTCTTTTGAAGACCTAATTTTGACCTATTAGCCAATGGAAGACTAATCTGTTTGTTTGTTATTACTATAAATACAACTGTACATCTGCTGAAAATGATTCGTCGAAAAGAAGAGTTCTTCCGCTCAATTAACTTTTTTTTAATAATGGTTTTTTATTGATTTCCAACTGGAAATTTTATATTACACCGTCTGAATGAATCTATGTTGATGGAGACGTCACTCCTTGATCTACAGTCTCAGCTATCTTTCTCAGTTTTCATCAGCAGGCTCCGAAGAATTTTACCTGCTTTTTATTCCGCTATTCCTTGATGTATTATTAAACTCTAATACACACCCTTTTACCAGAAGCACTATATGCTACCATAAAGGCAAAATAGTCAATGTAGGACTCAAAATGTTACGTAAAAGTCGATACACTGGATTTTTTCCCCTGTTTTTAACGAAATGTAATGTAGTATATGAAGTTTTCGCCTGTGTTAGCTCACGAATATTTGAAATTTCAAATTATTCACCCATGACACCAAGTCACGCACAATCCTCTTATATTTAATGCCAATGTGAAAGTGGGAATTATTTGGCTAATTATGACTGAAGACGTATACCTTTTTCATGCATAAATGAGAGTTTTCAACATTCTTATTTAATCTTCTTTTTATCCTGACTTGTCAACTGTCTACTACGTTTGTAGCAGCAAAGTGGTGTATTGGATGTAATCGAACAATTTATGAGCATTTTACAAAATTAGCTCAATATTATCATAAACTTGGTCGAGAAGACTTATTATTTGGCTATTCTAACTACGAAATAAATGAATATGAGGGATTAAAAGCTGCGAAAATGCCCAGGATCAAAATATTCCCTAAAGAATCACAAGATGAAATTGACTTTGATGGTGTCGAAAGCTTCAATGATATAAAGGACTTCATTGAGACCTCAGGAGTAAAATTCATATCATATGAAGTAAACTTTTTGTCTAATTTGATTCATGAATTCCCTTTATTTATGAATAACATTTAGGTTTTTAATTGGTGACATGTGATTTTATTTCAGAATAACATGTCGTCTTCTAACTAACTCACAATTAAGCTGATCTCTGACTTTTTCAAGAAATAATAACAATGATAAGCCTAAATATATATTCCGATTCGATCACTCAACAAGAGCAATAAGAATTTGTTTCTATAAGAAAATTAAAGCTTTTCATTCAGAACTTCAATTGTTCACTTCTCATCAGAATATAATACTCAGCTTTCTGATGCGTTCTAATATGAGGATGGTTTCCAGTAAGGGTTGATAGGAGGTGATGTTCTACAGAAAACCAAGTTCTAGTGAACGGCTAGTTTGCTGGAGTTCACGAACGTCTACAAATGACATATACTTGGTCTTGTTAGTTTCCTTATTCACCAGCTGAAATAATATTTCCCCTGTACTTCCGTAACCGGAAGATACGTACTTCAAGGAAACAGCTGCTGGGTGTAAGATTTCTGAAAGTCTATAGCATAAGGTACTTCATCTAGGATTGGCACTTTGCGATATTCATTAACAAAAGAACCATCATCCAGCTTAGTTTGAATATCAAGGCAGATAATTATTGCATCCATTAGTAATTAGTTTTGGATGAGAACTACGGAACGGAAAACCATTGTATGAGCTACCTAGCAGTCATGCCATCCACTGATAGAAATTAAAATCCTGCTGACTTTTTATAAGCTATCAGTGGTTATGTTATAACCAAAATAGTTTTTTCACTGAAGTGTCTAGGTCGTACGGTTCACTCGATCCTGTCAATTAAGAAACGAATGGTATTGTCTCCTACGGACTAGTAAGAACCTTCAATAAATGTGTGTAGTGTATGGTGTGTAATTTTTAAGAAAAGAAGTCCATCTTAGTTGATCGCATCACTCATACAAAACAGCAATATATAATTACCAAAATGAAATGATCTACTTGTCTCATAAGAAGCAACAATATTGTAAATAAAATAAATTATCATAAAGAAATAGGTTTTCTCAGCTCTCGCGGTAAGCACTATCACTTTAGAAAAGATTAGATAAACATTGACTGACACCAGTGTCAGTTAAAGCGGGTTTAGTCAAATGTCTAAATAACAGAGCTGAGAAACTCACTAGTCATTGTAAGGACTTAAAAAAGGAATTGAAACACATAAAAGAAGCGTTAATAATTAATAATTATCCCCATCATTTTATTAAGAAATTCACACGGACGCATAAGAAGCAAAATAATAACACTAATACAAATACAAATAATAGTGACAACATAAGTAGAAAGGAAATCAACACCTCTATTGTGATACCATACAAGGAAGGAACATCAGAAACCATACGTAGGATTCTCAACAAGGTTGGAATTAGGGTGGCATTTAAACCAACAAACTCACTTAGAGGTAAGCTTTGTCGGCTAAAAGATCCGATAGAACCAATTAAGCAAAATAATATAATCTACCAAATTCCATGTAATGACTGTGAAGTCAAATACATAGGTCAAACTAGCCGGTCGGGGTCAGTTAGATTAACAGAACATAGGAATTTAGCTAAACATAGAACGGCAGACCCCAATAAGATCAATAACCTAGAAAGACACTCAGCCATTGCATTACATTCATTAACACACAACCACACAATAGGATGGGACAAAACCACTGTACTTAAGTCTAATATAGCTAGGTGGAGAGAGAGATTAATTACTGAATCTTTGTTCATCGAATCCACACCCAACACATGTAATAGGAATGACGCAACACCTATACCAGAGATATGGAAAACTTTACTACCAATCAAAAAACAAAAAAACAAAGAGAGATCAGGTGACAGGACTATAAAATCAGATGTCGAAAGAAGTGTGATTACATTGATATGATTATGAGCAATAATATATGTTCGAAACTTAATCAAGTATAAAATACTGTATCACTGTGCGCTTTATATCATATAAACAAATCTAATATGGAACTACATTCTACCACAGTGCCCAAGCTTTTCACTTATATTAATAAAACAATCAGTAGTCTTATGTAAACTAATCATGCTTGTTATAAGTATTTTCAGTTTTAAAACTGACTACTACATAACAGAAGACAAATAAATTTTCAAAAGATATGGAAATCCTAATTGTAGCATAACTAATATTTTCATTCTTTTCTAATTTGCTAAATTTATCACACGAACGTACTGAAAACCAAACGAACGTTCAAAAAGGTTGATGCATTGTGCCAAATCACAAAGGAAATTTATCAGAAATGGAAAAAGATATTAAATGAGATGTTTATCTTAATGGGAAGAAATAAATGGAACTTCGTGCATTCAGAAATTAGAAAATGGTAAAAGAGCGAATAAATCCTCGCTGTTATAAACGATGGCTAGCCTCAACAAATAAGCTCTTTGACCACTGATATTCAAGATTTTACAAACCCTATCTAGTTAGACTACACGTCCATAAGTAACTCAGACTAGTATTCGAAGGCTTCATAAACGGGTGTCACCTGATCTACAAACCTCAGCTTTCTTATGTTCTGTTTCAACTAATATACCTATGACCAACACATATCTCAGTCTTTCCAGTTGATGTTAGTTTATGGACTTAATGATTAATTTTTTAGCCTTGGCCAGCATTTTACAACAAACCTTTATACTGCTCGCTGTAGTTCGAAAACACATGAAGCAGGCTTTTAAATACTTATAACCAATAGCCTCTAATCTTCCAGTGTCACCCATCTTTGGCTGCTATGTCTTATAACTAAAGAATAAAACACAGAAGAATACTGAGCAGTGCAGTTCTTATTTGATGTCATCAGATATCTCTCAAGGTAGGTGGTGTAGGTTCAAAATGCTAAATGATACGTTTATACTCATATCAAAGTATAATTCAACGTAAACAGTCCTTCCTTACTTCCATGACTCTGAAAATGACTAATTGCATTCTGTTGAAAACCTCTATCAAACGAACCATACCAAACACATTTCGTAGTAAAAAGCATCTTCACTGAGATAAAGGTTCTTTCATCTGGTTAGGTAGCTAACTAAGGAGTAGACGTTTGAAGACATTTTTACAACAAACCTAAGTGGGTTTGAAGAAAACATATTTTCACTGTGACTTATAGTCAGCCTGATGCACTTGAAACATTTTCCTTTTTTATTTCAATCCTAGCCGATTCACAAATACTTCGAAGAACCTGTTAAAGAAAGCAGTTGTATAAAGAGAGATTTCATTCTACCACAGAAAAATGATAAGTACGAGGTAGAAAATGAATTTTGAAAAATGTAGACATTTTTTACTATGTACTAAAATACTTTTATTTTATGTTTTGCATTGTTTTTATTTTAACACTAAACTTCTTTTATAGTCATCTATAATGCTTATGTGGATAATATCATCTAAAGGGAATGCATCCTAATAAAGAATAATAACCAAATGATGACTTGTTTTTCAAAGTTGATTTCATTTTCTATAACCCGTTTGGTTTTCGAAAAAAAATCCGGCTGATTCGTCGACAAAACTAAATTCCCCTAAGACCACTATGGACACAAAGTTCCTGATTGTTTGTGTAGAAAATTTCAATTACTAAATCTAGTTTACCGCCACATAAATACTGATTAAATTTAATAATACTTTCAGTAATCTAACTGAATTCACCGAATAACGTTAAGGTGAGCTCCTTAGAATATCTACCTACATTTTGCAAACAGCGAAACAATTACGTCGGTATAATGAAATACTTATTTTCTAAAATACTCAAACTTTTGTATGTAGAAAACAAATATTACAGTAAACCAACAGCGTTTAAATAATAGTTCTCTCGCTTGAGAAGAGCTAACTGCCCCATATTTGATAAACGTAAAAGCAACAGTATTTGCAGTGTTAGATGACGTCAATCAATTCAAAAGGATTTTCTGTAGCTGCATGCTACCTGAATAAATCAGTAAATGATCACTGTAGAAAAATACCAACAAAATGTATATGAAATTTCTTACAATACCGTTTAATCTTTCGAAGACAAGTAAAAAACGTTCCAAATCACGATACAAAGATGTTAATATGATGAAATCTAGTCAGACTAGAGATATATTATGCACCATCTACAAATCGAATTATTTACTTTATATTCATACTAATTATTCACCACAACTTGTAACTCAGGAAGATGCAGGCAGAAAAACACTTGATATTGTAATGCGTATACTTTAAACAGTTCCCGAAGTTCAGCCCAACAGTTCACAAGTAGCTTCACTAAATACTTCAATTAGACTTATTTATATCATAACAATTATCTTTTTTTGCATTGTAACACAGTCAAAATAATACAAACTCTGTATTATTAAAAAGGTATGGAGGTAGTTTTCATCACAAGCTGCTGACATCACTTAGAGAACCACTGGAAGTCTAGGAATGGTGAACACTTCTTTCTCTTATTTATCGTAATTTTCAGTAAGTTACATCCACGACTATGCAAGGAATCGTGCTAAAGAAAGCCTTGTCTCGTGTTGAACAATTTACCACTCAACCACACGGTTGAAATGCAGTGAGCAGTGTGATGAGCGCGACCTACTAGTTGAGGTGTATGTGTCCACGTATGCCAATTAGCATTAACGGTTCCTATTGCATGTTATTATGTTATATGAGTGGGTGATTTGAAATCGGATTACTACATCCTTCATCCCTTCATTCCTGTTTAAACAATCTTGACTCCACTTTGTGTAAACACTTCTACGATACATTGGCAAGTGAAGCAGAACAGACTGCAGGTAGCAGAGACAAGGACCTGACAACACTATGTCAACCAACCAAAATACTATCTGGGAAGAGATCAACATAGACGAAACCAATGAAAGACAGTGAAGGAAACCTAGTTACCAGAGAAGAGAAACAAAGGAAATGTTGGGCTGACCACTTCAGAAAACACTTCAATCGACTACCACCATCACCACAAACTGCCACCCCTCCAGAAATACCACCAGCAGACCAGCCACAGAATTATCGAGTAACACGAACCAGTAGCGTCA